TCGGGAGGAGGAGGAGGCGGCGGCGGCGGCAAGAACCCGCTGGTGAAGCCGCCCTACTCGTACATCGCCCTCATCACGATGGCCATCCTGCAGAGCCCCAAGAAGCGGCTGACCCTCAGCGAGATCTGCGAGTTCATCAGCGGCCGCTTCCCTTACTACCGGGAGAAGTTCCCCGCCTGGCAGAACTCCATCCGCCACAACCTGTCGCTCAACGACTGCTTCGTCAAGATCCCCCGCGAGCCGGGCAACCCGGGCAAGGGCAACTACTGGACTTTGGACCCGGAGTCGGCCGATATGTTCGACAACGGCAGCTTCCTCCGTCGGAGGAAGCGCTTCAAGCGGCAGCAGCAGCAGCTCCACCCGCAGCCCCCGGAGCTCCTCCTGCGAGCGGCCGCCGACTCGGCCGCTTTCCTCCCGGGCTTTGCCTACGGACCTTATGGCTACAACTACGGGCTCCAGCTGCAGAGTTTCCACCACCATCACCACCACCACCACCACCCTGCCGCCGGCGGAGGATTTCCACCACCATCACCACCACCACCACCACCCTGCCGCCGGAGGAGGAGGAGGAGGCGGCGGGGCGGCGGCGGGGCCCTTCCCCTTCCAGCCCTCACCTTGTGCCCTGCCTGCCTCGGCGGGTCCCGGCGCTTCGGCGGCCGCCCCGTCGGTCTTCTCCAGCGGCCTTTCCTCTTTCCTCGGTGGCGATCTGAGTTGTAGGAAAGCCTTCTACCCCGCCGGGCAGCTTAGTCCCACCGCCTCTCTCCTGCAGACTCTCAAGACGGACCAGGGAGCCGGCAACAGGCCTTCCTTTTCCATAGACAATATCATCGGCGGCGGTGCGGCCCCTCCGCAGTCGAGCAGCTCCACCACCAGCGCGCCAACTTCGCCCTTCCCGGCGAGCCACGCCGGTAGCCAAGCGCAGGTCCTGGCGATGCTCTCTCCGGCTCTGACTCCCTTACCGAACCATTTGAATCTGGCCCACGAATCCCTTCTACAGTCAGGACCGAACTTCTCCAGTAAACTCACAAACCTCAACAGCTGTCCCTTTTAAAACACACACACACACACACACACGCAACCAGCCTCAATGCCCTCGACCCCAACCAACTGCCCCCTATCTGTCTTGTCTCCCCTACTCCACTCCCACAATTGCCCTCCTATTGTGTTTTAAAAGGTAGGAACTCTTGTTTTTTTTTTATTTTTACTTTTTCTTTGGCGTCTGGATCGATATTGCGTGTTCGTTTCTCTCCTTGCCTTTTCAGGATCGGTGTTTTAAAAGCAGGATGGGGCGGGGGAGAGAGACGCAGGGATCTAAGAGATCAGATTTATTTCAGATTAGCCTTTCCTGTCAAATGAACTTTCGTGACTTGTAAAAAAATAAAATAAAATAACAGGGAATAGTTGAATTAAGGCTGTGATGCTAAACCGCCGGCATGAGGCATGAAAACCGTTCTAGCCGGATTTAGTGATAGTTACCTCCGAGTCAAAATAAAAGTGACTGGAGGTGACAAAACGACAATCTGTAATTCTCCAAACACTTGTTTTGAAAGGCGACTCACACCCAAATCAGTGTGCAGGACTGGAGCCTTAAATCCTTGATTTAAGTGGATGGTGAATCTGAAATATTGCACTAGTAACTTCTCTCTTAAATTCTGTCCCTGTAGGATTCCTTATACAGTATCTCTACCTTGCTGTTGTTTCAAAACACTTGTTTAAGGAAAGTTTCCCTCGAATGTTTCAATATTATGAATCACAACCTCCTAAAGTGAGGGATCATTTGGCAACAGCGAGATTTCAAACCCAATTACCAAAAAAAGTCCTGCGGTATCAGGAAGTTTTCTGTTACCTCCTCAGCCATCTTCTCTCCACCCCTCTAGTGTGTGTGTTTTCTTGTGCACCTGGGTTTATTTGTGTGTATATATTGTCCACCAGAACTTACTTGACTCTTCCCACTAGCTGTGCATCCTTCCTATTTTATTGAAAGATTTGTGAATACTTTGATGTGGAAAAGGCGTCGTATTTTTTTTGTCCACCTTTGGTGTAAATTAATAAATGTTTGTGAACCCTTTTAAAAGAAAGCTGGTGGGTTTTCTATTTGCCTTCTTAATACAAGAAGCAGTGGAAAAAAAAGGAGTAACTAAGTTTAGGTCTTAAAAAGAGTAACTAAAGGTCTTAAAACAAGGGGTGGGAGAATTGTACTGGTGATTTGAAACCTCACTGAAAGGAAGCTACTGAAACTTTGCAGCAGGGAAGTCAACGGACTCTTAAAACTCATTCTGAAAAAATATTTTAAGAAGTTTATGTAAGATCAGTGTTTCAGGCTGCAGCCTCTAACCTAATTGAAAATGGGCAAATCTTAGTTTTCTGCATTACAGGGCAAATTCGTCTGTAGTTTACCACTGGCTTACACTTCTCATGTACTTGTAATAAATTCTTCTCATTAAAAGGGGCAAGGTAAGTAGAGACATGCACTTTTTGTTTAACTATGTTACTAAATGAATTTCCTGCTGGAAGAAAAGGGTAGGTTAGATTTAGTAGATGAAACACTTTCTTCCTTGCCTATTAATAAATCTTTAGTATTCATTATGGCCATGATTTGATCAACTTTAAATATTGATTCTGCTCTTTCTTTAAAATCAATAATTTTAAGTGTAAAAACCTTGGACCCAGATATGTGTGTGTGTGTGTGTGTGTGTATGTGTGTGTGTTTAATCTGCATCGTTCTTTTAAACTCTGGTATTACAGCTGGCAACTCATTAAGTTCTTGTTTTCAGGAAATGCTTGAAGTTGCCAGGCAGTTCCTCCAGGAGCAAAACTGTACTCCCACTCCCCTTTTGTTTTGGTTGGAAATGTTGACACATGGAAGAGGCAATGAGGAATGGAGGGGGCTG